GAGGGCGGGAAAGGGAAGGGCGAGAGGAATTTGGCGAGAGGAGAGACGTCTCGCGTAGCCTCTACAAGTCACTGGTTTCTGGTTTTCGGCCCGTTTCATCGCGGACCGCGTTCGACGCGGAAACGCGTATTAATAGTTCGGTGGAAATGGAATCTAGGTGAGGAACGGGTGAGAAACAGAGGGCGGCGAGCTGTTATGCGGCGTTGGTGAGACGGATTCGCACCGGATTCGACTCGATGTCCGCCAATTTATCGTCGGATAAGGCCGATCGATCGCGGTTTCGCCTTTCGCGTGTTTCCACGTTGAATTTCGGAAACGACCGATACCACACATCCACGGGGTGGATCAAGTTGTTAACGCGCTGTTTCTTGTTTTGCCCGGCGACCTCTCCTCCATCGTTTCGCCTTTCGTGTTTATGTTCGAATTGATTAAAAAGTGATTAAAAAGAAAAGAAAACGTTGTTGATTATGACTCGTGTTTGAGACGATGTTATTACGATGTTGGTATTTTGGGGTTGGAAATAATTGGTGAGTCTGTAGTGTGGATTTTTTAAAAACAAAATTTAACATTCTCGAGTTATGATTTATAATATTTCGATTTTGAGATGACGTTAATTGGTATACTTTGAAAGACACTGATTGGTAAGTCTATACGGATCGAAATTAATTGATATATATATTTTAACTATATATAATATTTTAAGTTAATTAATTGGTAAATTGATATTCTGGATTTTATTTCAGAATCGTCGATCGATTTTATTAATATAAATACTGAAATTATTTATAAGTATATCACGAATTGATACGACGTTAAATTTATATTCCCTTCGAAATAATCAATTTATTAAAAACATCCTTCATTAAAAATATCGTTTCGTTAAAATCGAGCAAGAGTGCAATTCATTCTCACTTGAATCTAGGAAAAGTAATCCTTTACAAAACAACGTTAATTGCACGAGCACAATCGATCCGTGAAATCCAAATCGCTATACCATAGAAAAACACTGGCGAAACTTCAATGTGTTTTCGTTGCAAACCGAGCACAAGTTTCGGGATCGAGCTGACTATAAATCTGATCTCCATTTGCGGAAGGTTCCCAAGGGGAATTTAATAGATCAGTCGAACCAATAGAAACGAATCGATTCCGTAAAATTGTTCGAGAAACAATGTAGCACGAATTCCCCGAACTTTCCGAACTATTTCTTTTCCTTTTCGAAATATTTTTAATACGTCGATCGATCAATTCTTTTCATCAAATTTTTATAAATAGACTGGGGAAATTTAAACAAAATGATATACAAAAAAAAAGAAGAAAGAAAAAGAAATGGAAAATATTTGAAAAATAAAGCAAATTTTTTTAGTGTTTATAAAAGTTTGTACAAATATCCCCAATTTATCAATAAATCTTTATAACACTTTTCTCATTCGCCTCAATCACTCTTGAAACGTTTTTCCTGTTTAAAGCTTTTGGACAGAGACGTCATTTCGGCGAAACGTTTCCAACGAAAGTACAAAAGTTCGTGGTATAATGTTGATAGGGCGATAAACGAGTTGAAGGTGAATTTAATGCACTTGCGGTCCGCGCATCAAATATTTCTCAACGCGGCTATGAATATGTTAATCTGGAAGAAGGAAGAATCTGGAACGTAACCGCGAGCAAAGTGGGCGAACTTGTGTCATTTATGTCTCGCGAAAGTATTCAGATGCAAATTGAAATTCGCGGTGAATCTTTACGGTTGGGGTGAATCGAAGCTAATTTCGATGCTTTACGTATCCAAATAAGAAGTAGAAAAGTAAAACTTTTCGATAGTAGATACTATTAAATTAAAAATCTAGTATAATTAACGATAATCAAAACGTTGTATTAAATTCAATGAGTCGAATTTAAGAATATTTCGCGTGAAATAATTAATTTTTTATTTTTAATTATTTAGAATCGTTTAGAAAATTAATCGAAAGAAATTTCGAAATCAAATCAAATTCAAAACCAAATTGATACGTTTCGAAATCATGATTATCTAAATAATTAGTTGTTTGTATATTAAGTTGAGTAAAAAGATGAAGTAAAAATCTTACTTTGAAAATTCAATTTTCACTTAAATCAATTATTAATTTATAACGATAAATATATAATCATAAGCAAACATAAGGACAACGAGCAGCATTATTGAAATTCATTAATTAATCTCATTAGAGTTATTACACGTGCAAATAAACGAACTTAAACACGATATTGAAACGAAGCTATTAGTTTGCTAAAGCTAAACCTATTATCGATCCATCGAGATCAAATTCCAATTACGTGTGCTACTGCAATATTCAATCATTTTATTCAAATTTACGGATTTTTAATTTTTCCCGATACGGAGAATCGTTTTTCGTGATCACGATTTATTAGATAAATATGGAAATACGATAATTCGCAACTTTTATTCGGAAATTTATAATATATATTTTTTTAAAACTATATTTTTTACTATACTTTTTCTAAAAGTATTAAATTCGATCAATTTCCAATTATTTTAATCGAAATCGCGCGGAAAACTCCAGTTTAAAATTACCTATTTAAATCTTCCATTTCTTTTTTTTATTTAAATCGGATATCATTCCGTTTAAATCGAAATTTAAATAACTTCGATTTTAAATCGTTATCGAATCGAGCACGATTCGAAATAAATTTTTAAAAACGGCATCGAACGTCGAGATATATAAATTACACGCGTTCGCAAAAATCATAAAAAAAAAAAGAAAAATAACATCGCCGAAAAAAGTCATTAAAAAAAAATCTCAAAAATGAGATGTTAAAAAAAAATGCTGTAAAAACAACTGTACTGGCGTATTGCAAAATCGCAATAAACGAGAGTTAAGCATGTAATAAAGGCCAGCTCGAAATTAGCGATCAAAGAAAATCGTATGTGGAAAATCGGTAAATATTTTATCGGTCATCGGGCTGTGAGTTAATTTCACGGGGTTGTGAACGCGTTTGCTGCGTTTATTTAAATCTAAAGGCTGGATCCCCTCCAG